ATCTGGTCTATTATGTGGAGAGAGCCTATCGGACGCCAGACTTTGGTATGTGGGAGAGAGGGAGCAAATACAATACCGGCACTCCTGAGATCAACGCCTCGTCCATCGGAATGGCTAAGTCTGCTCTGGAAGCTATCAATGGATGCAATCTCTTTGGCGAAAAGGGCGCGTCTTGGAGTGTCATCTATGTTGACATCGATGCTCACAGTCGTAACCGAAGTATTTTCGAAACACTGCTTCCTCGAGAGTCCAGTTCTAAGAACACAGACTCAAGTATTGATTCATTTGTTATATTATATAACTTTGAATATATTATATTTCTATGGGTATTGTATTAATCATGTTAAATATTTTATAGGTTTATTGCCAACCATTAGTTGGCCATCATTTGCCACTCACGACACACTCCTCTACGCGAACACTAAGGATAAGATAATTAAACGATTGAAGACTCCGTACGGCTTCAAGAGGTTTATCAGAGATGGTTACGGAACTGTTCTCGAGAGTCGCGGCAATTATAGAAACGAAGAAACCAAACATTTCGAGAATATAGAGTGTGTTTGGCCTCTGTTTTGCTGTTTCCTCGTCATCGACGGTGTCTTCAAGAATCTTGAATCTCAAACCAAATACTATAAGGACTTACTCTTCACTCAACTATTGAGAAGAGATCCCATAACTGGCGACTACTTAATACCCAAATACTATTACGTAAGCCATAATACTATTATTTTCCTTATTATTGTATTTCTATTTCGTAATCGAAATTATTATTTTGAAATTAAAAACAAATACTTTGTCTATTCCTTCGTTAATATTGTTACCACAAAAGTTTATGACCGCAATTCCCCGCTTATAGTGCCAGACATTTATTGTAAATTTTTTGTTTTTAAAGGGACGCAACTATAACTCGCTATAGTTGTTCGTTAAACTTGTGGTTCCAATTAACATTTTCACGTCCAAAGTAGAAAAGTCTTAGGAACTAACAATTCCATGAAACAAAAGAATTATATTTTCTAATTAATTGGTAAATAAGTGTTATAATCATCATTTTTATTTATTACCATGTAAATATCGAATCTGGTGAGACCAGATTGAATTAGATGGCTGTAACTATATTCAACGGGTAACATTACAATTTTATATCCTTGAACCAGAAATTTTTCACCTTGGTCTACTCTATGCATAGAGTTTTAGTTGAAATAATGAGTAATTGCAGGTTAATTGTTATATTTATAATATGATTTTCACTTTAAAACGTTAACCTTTTAGTGGTCTTTGCTTAAGAACTTTAGCGTACATGTAAAATTAAATGCAATTTTTAACCTCAATTTTTTAAAATTCAGTATAAAAATTCAACTGTTTAAAATGTTCTTTATTTGGTAATTCATTTATCCCTAAAGTTTTATCAATATATAAATAAATCGACTAAAAGTATATAAATAATTTTTACCGTAAATACTTTAATGGTATCTTTATTTGTAAGAAATAAATGTTGGCAATTCTTAATGTGATTTTTAAATAATGAATGGAAATATGTATTATTCCTGAAGTTTTTGATGCTATTGAATATCAAAATCTTTAGAATTATCATAACAGTAATGTCATGCAACTCTATGCCACTAAATGCGGTAAAAAGTTTTATTTTACAATTTATATTTACGTGATCCGGAATCACAACTTTAAACGATATTTTATATAATATATTTCATAGTAATGTAAATACCGTTAGATTTAATATAAAATTATGCGAAACGACTGTTAGGTTCCGCCGGAATATATAGACGCAGAGAAGGCAGAGCCCGGATCTACTCCTCGTATTGCCAGTCAAGAGGGAAGTGATTCTTCTGTTCTGTATCT